GAGAACTTTTTTGATTTAAATATTTACTCCTGCGTGATTTAACATTGAAAAGACCTAACGTAGCTCGCAGAATATGTAAACTAGATGGGAACGATTTATGAAACACAATAATTGCATTTCAGAACTAATTTCAAGAAGCTGATTTAACTAAACTTTCTCATTTTTTTTTTTCACCTGATATCTAATTGCAGCATGGTCATATCAGTATGGGGCGTTGTTTTTCTTGGATTACTCGGTGTATTCTTTTATGTCCAATCGGTGACATTATTCCCCGATCTGCACTTTCCTGAGGAAGATATGGCTGGTGCCAAGCCTTTAAGCGTGCCGTATGTTTTTGTTTTGATCTCACTTTCTTTCATATTGAGTCTTATAGCCTTGATACATTATCATCTAGTTCATTTGAATCCTTCGTTTTTTTTGGAGGGGGAAGTAGAATGCGTATCGCTGTTCTCTTCCTTCTCTCCATCACTGTTGTTAATCGAACATAAGGTAGAACTTTTTACCCGGCTCCCCTTAGTAAAATCACCTATGAAGGGAAGAAAACTTTATTCTCGGGCAGCCCGACGCGTTTGAATCAAAATTTATGGTCCCGAAAGTACATGTAAAAGGGTAGCGTTATTTTTGTTAGATTTTTTCAAACTTTTAATCTTTCTTTTCATATCTTTCTTTTTTTTGCAGGATGATCGAAAGCAAGTACGCGGAGAAGGCCACTCAGTGTTGGGTCGCAGCTGGAATGTATTTAGTAACTTTAATAGCAGTGTTTTGGCAAAACAAATTTAACACTGCTTCCGTGCTATGAGCTTCATAATACTTCTTTTTTTGCACTGTTTTGGTAATCTGCTTCGCTGACTGCTAGCATAATTCCTATTCTGAAAAGAGATCTCTTTCACAGAGGTAACAAGTAGAGTTTGCTAAGTGGACTACAGTCCTAGATTGTTTTTACCATTTTGCTGAACTTTTGTAGCTCTGTTAAAACTGGCTGTTACCTTATTTTATCTGTGATGAACTTTTCAAAGAGGAGTCGTAGTCGGTTATTCTGTCTTGATTTAACTTAACAGTAGTATTTTTCAATCTGATTATATGTATAGAGAGGAGTTTATTTGAAGGCGTTCACAACCCTACTGAATTGTAAGAGAATTTTAGGATTTGGAGGTGCTATTTTTGTAAACACCTCATTTAGAGGACTTGAATGTACCTTTTTTCTTTTCAAAAAAAGTTTGTGAATAAAGAGAACAATGTTTTCCTCTACTTAGTTACTCGTCGCAAAGAAGAGTTTAAGTTGCAAAGTAGATGCAGATTCTCGAGTGGGAAATTTGCAAATAAATAGTTGCAGGTTGAGATGACCGGGGATGATTAGCTAATATTCTTTGTTGCAGTTTCTACTTGTGCAACCTTTAGCGGAGGGCGGCTCCGGGTCACATTTTTAGTTTCATGTCGTACTACTGGCGAAGCAAGTTGACTTTTTCTATCACTTCTAGAACCTCACTCTATTGCTTTGTCACAAGTGACAATATTTTGACGAATTTTTGTCATCAAGAAACAGTGTGCTAACGTTGGATAGTCATAAACAATCAGCGAGGCTGGACACTTACTGCTATGATCAAGTAGAGCCGTCCTACGAGAAACCACTTGTAATAGTGAAGTGCTGCAGTTACTGAAAGCAAATTTATCTTAAGTTCATACACAAACTAGTACACAGCTATTTTGCTAATCATTCACTTATCACTAGTCCTTTTTACGTGGACTGAAAACCTGAAATCCTGTGACGGATGAGCTGTTTAATTCATTAAGCTGTCGATTCGCTTTCCGTAGTTCGTATTCTATCATGAAAACGTCACTTCTTTTGTACTTGACTGCCCCTTCTAAATTTAAATCGTCGGTAAGATGTGGTAAGGTAGTTGTTTCACTGTAAACTTTAGCGACTGCTTGAAAGAAGTGCTGGGAGCATGTGTGTTCAACATACCGCGGAACCTCATCCTTACGTATTCTTGCAAGCCAGGTGGACCTCGTTTGCCTGCCCGAAGGAACTCTTTATATAACGAAAGAATTGCTAACTGAAGCTTTGAATGTTTTATCGACATAAAGATCTTAGAAGTGTCTTCGCTTATACCATCTAAAACACACCTCATCTAACACAATAAACATTCCTTCAACAATGACAACAATGCAAGTAATTTCAAAGACCGGAAAAAGAATTAGTGGATTAGAACACTGCCGTTTCACCACTGCTTGCTAGACCCATATTTACCGCAGTTAAACAGCAAAAGCCACACACGAACAACACATCCTCACTCAGGGTTCAAATTACTGCGCACTTCTCAACTAGAAAAATTTTATTATTGCAAAAAGAAAAAATATATTCGAAGTAGAAAAGAAGATCAGCCGAATATTTTTCCCGGGACTATTAAACAGCGAGGCCAGGTAACAATGCCTGCTAAAGTTTGAAACCGAGATGCTACATGATTTAAAAGAAAAACAAACCAAATACCTTAAGAAGTTTTTTTTAAAGTACTTGGTTTCCTTCTTTTTAGTTACAACAAACTAACAACTGTAAACAAACGAAACTAGATAATATTTAGCATTTCCAACAAGTGCAACAAAACAGTCTGAAAACGAGAGTAACAAAAATTTACTGAAAAACAATTGCAAAACTTTGCACTTTCTCAAACTCCACTGTAAACGTTTAGAAGCAGAACGCTTATTCCAGGCTAAGGAAGAGTTAAAAAGAAAAGTGAGTCGATATATCGGAGTTAGTTAACGGAACATTACAGTACAAAATTATAACTTCCACTTATTTTTAATGAATTTATATGGAAGTACAAATAGAAAATTCTACAGTAACGAAAACCTGCTATAACTATTAAAACTAAACGAGAATACAGATATACAAAGAAAACAAAAATTTTCAAAATATCACATTCTTTCAAAGAAACAAGAGTGTACAAAGATCTAATTACCATCGTGATATAGTCGCGGGGTTTACTCAGACCACACAACCAGGTCAAAATGTCTTTTCCCCCAGCAGACAATAGTCAAATCCTTTCCACCAAATTTCAACTTCTCGTAATCTACTTTCTCATCAACGTCAGTATACCGCACCCCGTTCAACTTTAGCCCTCCGCTTTTTACTGCATTTAGTCCTGACGATCTACCACGCTTCACAAGATCTGCCAAACGGCCAATGGTCAAAACATCTTTTTTTGAAATATGATGTGTCGATGCTTTCCCAAAAAGCAGCTGAATAGTTGAACAAGGCATCGCCTCTAGATCTTCTAGACTATCTGGAAAATGACAGTCAAAACTAGCTGACGAAAAAAAGGTTACCATAGAACGCTACAGGTTACTAAACTGTAACGACAAACTTTTAAATAATGCCTTCGAACAGCGCTGCGCTAGGTTAAGTCCTTCCTCACCATGAACCAGCCGTGTCATTTCAACAGCTAAATGCTCCTGAGCAATCCAACCACCTAAATTGGCTTCATGTTTCTCCAAAATGGCAAGAATGCGGTTCAACGGTTCCAATGAAAAGTGCCTAAAATTAAGAATTCCTAACCTTCTACAGATAAAAAGATTAGAGTTCAAATAATCTATTTAAAAAAATGCTTCAGCAGTTCATCGAAATTGACCAAAATTACAAAACTTAATAATGCAGGAACGCCTTTATCCGGTAGCTGGCGCCAGAACTGGAAAAATGCAAAAGGAGACGTTTTTTCTGGATCAAGCCAAACCGAAGCATTTGGACTGGTGACTGATTTCCCTAACTTTTCTCCTTTGTGATCGGTAACTAACGACAAGCCAAGCCCGCAAGAAACCTTTCCAGTAATCCTGCGAATGTAATCAAAACCAGCATCGAAGTTCCCTAGCTGATCGCTGCCTCCCAGCTTAAAGTGGAACTCTCTCAAAGCTCTGTTAATGTTGAAAAATTAGGCCCTTCCAAACAATTTTTATGTGACCACCAACAGAAACAATCACAAGTTAATGGTTTTGAAGAATACCTGGAAATAGCAATTATAATATTGAGCCAAATGAAGCCAATCCATCGCTTGTAAATTCTGGTATGAAAATTCGGAATAATCAATTCCAAAACCGGGACGCATTCGCGCTTTAACAGCTGCCAACCTATGCATATCTCCTACGCGAAACGTGTGACTCAGTTCTAAATATTCCTCTAAAGACATCTGAAACGTCGTGGTGAAACGTAGGTCAGTAGAAACCCTAACACAGACGAGTAAAGAGCGAAACTGAATTAATAAGAATAAAAATGAAGCGTATGAATAACATTACCAATCCTGCTTATTCAAGATGTAATGTAACAAACCTTCTCATACCACTCTGAATTGTTCACGTGAACAAAGCTATCCTTGTACTTCTCTCCATAATGACTGCAAAAATTAGAAACTATCCTTTTGATCTGCGAGGTAATGACAGCAGCATTTTTTGCTATAGTTCTTCTACTGGTAAACTTACGAGCTGCAAAAGACCAAACTATAAAATATTAGAAGGAACGCAAAATGCTCATCCATTTTATTTACCATCGGTGTTAAACCTGAAGTTCTGCCACTTGGATCCCCAGCTACAGCAGTCGTTTGTCCGACTAAAGCGATGGACTTACACCCATAAAAGGCAGCTCTTAACAAACTATTGAGGATGCTTAAATTACCGACATGTAACGAATCCGATGTGGCATCAAATCCTAAAGAAAAAATGAATGACCAAACCAAAACTAAATAAATGAAAGGATATCCAGTCTTTATTACCAATTAAGAAAAAACACTAGAATTTCAACGGACAAACTACATGTGATGAGGAATGTTAATCTGAGCAAAAAGGATCAAAAAGAAGACATAATTAAGGGTATAAAAAGTAGAAAAATGTGCAAACCTCGTACCAGCATAGAGGACATTTGGTAGTGTTGCTAACGATTGAAAACCGTTTTTATCCACATCCTGTGGATGTGAGTTGTCGACTATCCCACGCTCAGAAAGATCTGAACAGAATTCCTGAAGGCTATTCAATGCAGAAGATGTCGAAAAAAAGCTTAATTGCTTCAAACGTACAGCTTCCAGCAACAAAATACCATAAGAGTCAGTGAGATGCATCAATAACATGGCAACCTAAACACAATGAAAGCGTAGTAAAGGCGTAGAAAGTAAAAGATAATACTATCGATGTGTGCAAAACGAATTTCTTGAAAGTGATAAAGCAACGTTGTTTCACAACTGCAAAATTGCTAGCCGCAGATATACACTTCATTCTTTTAAGACGGTACTGACCCCCTTATTACCAAGTGGATGGACAAAGCAGGGTCTTCCAGGAACACACTTTTCGATTACGGCAGGAGAACAAGAGTGAAGGAGTGAAATGAGATACTGTAGAAAAACAAAATTCCTTATCTGTTCGCTTAACCATTTGAGTAGTAGGTTAAACAAAAACAGTCCATCAAAGAATTCCTCAAAGACTTTAGTAAATCTGTTGCAGGAGAAAATTCAAAAAAATCTTCACAAGACCGTGACTGAAGGTAACTCTGATGAGCGTTTGCAAAACGCACATGCCCTTGATGCTTCTAACTCACCACGGTTCGATAAACTCTGTAAGCATCCTATACAAACTCACAAACTGTTTTTAAAATAATGCTTTGAAATGCATAAATTATCGACCAGTCGCCTGCTGCGTTGAGACAGGCCCACACTTCCAGTCTAGAACGTAAATAAACGACAACTATATGGATGATCTGTCACTCACAGGTATCTTCAACCCCTACTGAAGTTTAACCGAGGAAGAAAAAAGAAAAAGAATTTCATACACAACAGGAGAGAAGTAAAAGTTGGACTCGAGAGGTGACTTTACAATAATGACTTTTGCAAACATGACTTTCTAAGTGGGTTCGGGAATAACAGATATTGACTGGAACGCTTTCAAAGAAGAAAGCGGAATTCAACAAAAACGTCAACAAGGCACGTAACTCAAAGAAACCCAAAGGTTATACTGGCATTCTCGTGTGACAAGAAAAGCAATGGAAAATAGTCGCAATAAATAAGATCAGGGAATACACAAAAAAAACAGCAAACTGAAGTGTCTCAAGAGGAGTGGCTCATCGGTTCGACTCCTAATTTTCTATTTTCTTTTACCTTTTCAAATTTTTTCGCCTGAGGCGTAGTAGTTTTAAATTTTTTGCTGTTTTCAAATTCTGTTTTTGCGCTTATTGCAGCTCTTGTCTTGCCCTTAGAACACCCTAAAGACGTTATCTCCAGCGTTGAGAAAAGTGATTTAATAAAGTAAATTAAAAGAGAATAGAGGTAATTGGAAATACTTTCAGACTTCCGTCCCAATTCGTTATTTATCCACATCTTGAAAACTATAGTGCAGCAAACATTTTCAGAATTGTGGTAAGTCGAAAACGATCAACTCTGCTGAAGAATTAAAGGGAACTTTTCATAATTGCAAAGACATTTAAAATTTAAACAACTCCATTTGTCCTCAACAGTTTCGTTGGAGTTTCAAGACCAATATAATCACCAGCATAAAACTGAGGACTAACCGGTCATTTTTTCACGAACTTCCAATGACGCTTAAGTGTACGACAAATGACTGCTGCAAAATGAGATAACTTCTTCGCTTCAAGTTTCCTTCCTTTTCCGTTTTGTCTAATTTGAGCAACTTCACTACTGTAGAGTTTGTCCTTCCACATCGCTTACACACACCTTCTCAAGTACAATGCACAGAACTTTTTTGGAAGTCTTTAAAAATTCTAACTACCACTTATCCTGGACCAAAATACCCCGTAATTTCCAAAAACATTTCGGGAACAAACTATAGAAGCTTCGTAGAAAAATCTTCTCTGTCCCTACACTTCAAACAGGAAGGTTCACATACATCAGCCTTCTTGGCAGTAAAGTCATCTACCTAAATGTATTATAAAACTGTTCGCATGCTAACTAAGTCCCCAGAAACGCAATAGAAACCCAAATTCGGCTACAGAAAGCTAAAACACAACCAACAAATGGATGAAGAACACCACCTACCTTGCAATTAGGAACGAAATAACTGGGAAAAACACTGAAGAAGAGACCTTAGTTAAAGCTCTCTAAGTTCCCCTATAAGCTGTGAACAGACGGTCTTGTAACTCACCTTTGTTTAACGTTCACAAGACAGAGGTGAAAAAGATGATAAGTCATAAAGTGAAGATCAAAAAGCAGACAACACAAGAACTGAACTTCAAAAGTTCTGGGCACCTAACTTCTTGAAGGTCAAGATTCCATATGAACAAATTAATGACCTCTAGTTATGCAGTCTTTAAACGAAGATGGGTATTCTTCTTCCATACCATTAGATGCTACTGCTTAGTGAAAACAGGAAACTTCCAAAAGCAGCAATTATTCAATAATCCAACGTAACATGATATACAATAAGGAAAGAAATATACTACAAGGAGTCAAAAAGTCAACTATCCTTTTTTTTTTAAACCTCTCTCCAGCTCCAACTCTCACGAGTGCATATTACAATCAAAAAATTGAAGTGCAAACAATGTTAAATGGAGAGATTATGCTGCGAACAACAACAAAATAACGGAAAAGAAATAACACAATTTTACCATGAGAATACGTATTTTACTCATTTTAATGACCATGCAAAAATTTGAAAGACCACTCAGCCTAAACTGAAGGATCGCAGATTCATAAACTGCTGGCTTAAAAGAGAAAAATCTAAATAAATTATCAAAACCGCAAATAAATTTTAGGAAAACCTCGTCCATAGTTGAGCTCTGCCAGACATATCAAAGAGCAAAATCCTGGCAGAAAACTTCAAAAGCTCGTTAAGAGAAAGGAGTAATTAAAACAGGAAAGCGTAAAACCTGATAAATCAAATAAGTTTGCCGATATAACATGAGCCTTGTCAAAATCCCTCTTCCCGTCAGCAATGTATTAACAAATTTTTTTTTTTTTTTGCTATAAAGCATTCGATAACGAAATCTAAATATTAAGCTCCAATCTTCAAAGCTTCAGACAAGCACTAATGAACAATAAATAAAAAACAAAACAACAATTGTCTACCTCAACCCGCCATTTTAATACTTGACGGCACCTCAAAAACAGCAACCTTGAAGAAAAAACTAGAGCAGAAGAAATATACAACATAAGTTAAACAAATTTCCAGCAAATGACTTAATTATCTGGTTTACAGATACGTCTTTCTGTCAAAATTTCCATCTAAAACAGCAAGGTGACGGCTTGCTCATTAAACCTGAAGAATACTTTTTAATACATGAATACGAATTCAAAAATGAAATGCGCATTACAAAAATATCATTTAAACCAGTCAATAACCGTGCTCAGTGAGATCATTCGTTGACTGCCATAACGGACTTTGGTCGAGATGATTTACCAAAGGGCTTACACGAAACTCGACTACTATTTTCTCAAAGTCTCGCGAGAAGCTGTAAAAGTGTTTTTGTAAAAGAGAGGTAGATTTAAATTTGAGTAAGAACCCACTCACCTAACAAAAAATACTGTATTTGATATAGAAAGAAGCCATTCTGCAATTGCTGAGAAACAGTGAAGATTATAACCCTAAAATCACTCAGAATTGCGAACAATGATCGACACACGTAAATCGGATTTTTTTTTTGCGAAAGCTAGATCTAAAATAAAAACACTAATAATAAATCACGTACTGGTTCGTAAATGCGTCTTGACCATGGACGGGGAGTTGGAAGATCAGGATAAACTTTGTGAAACTCAGCTGAAGCGAGAACGCCAAATGTTACACCTGAAAAAAGCAACTTAAACTACTGAGATTGATCAACATAAAAGAAGTTTTTGGAAAAGCAGAAGAAGTCACTTTACTAGATATCTTCTGAACAAACTTAAACTAAATACTGGAACGAACTTGTTATGAACAGAAGGACTGAAATTAAGGCAATAGATGATCGGATATAACCAATACGCCGGTTCGAGTATAAAGGGTACATATGAAGTGTTATAAAAGATTGTAGAAGCATATAGACACAACCGCTTCCAAAGCAAATAAAAGCAAATACCAAATGAATCATAACAACGGAGGTTTCCTAAATCTACTCATACCTAACAAAAAACAAAACAGTAACCAAGTAGAATAAAGTGGTAGAAAAAAACTAATTCGTACCTGAAAGTTTGCGACGCCAAACATCCCAACAGCTCCCAGAACACCAGCTATAAGTCCCAAAATATTTGCATTTTGAAGCAGTAAATCTGAACCCCTATTCAGCTCCACTATAAGCGAATAACTACAAAAGGAAACAAAGATTATCATGGCAAAATTAAACAGAAAGGCGGCAGCGAATTCCATCTAGGATGAAACAGAAGACAACGCCTGCCGAGAAAAAAACTAAAGCATTTTAAATGCCACTCGTTTCATAAAATTAAAACTAAAAAAAAGCCGAATTCAGATAATGCGATCATAACTAATTCGAATCAGCTGTACCGCATATAAATTATCAATACTGATAAACCACTGCAGAGATTGAGCAACATGCCAAAAACACAAGACTCAGGCCGATTATCCGCTGATGCTGAAATGTATGGGAACACTGGATCTACATCTCCACGCCAGACAGAAACGATGTAGGTAACACCTGTAACGCCACAGATATCTTGGAATATTTTAATAAAATGAAATTTAGAACTAAAATCCTAAATTAAATTTAACAAAACGCAGATAAACTCTCCACTCTAAAGAACCTTTCAAGAAATCATAACAACCAACCCAAATTGATAGTAAAAACAATTGCAAAGACAATCGGCACATGTCCAGCACGGAGAATCCCTAACTGTAACATATACTGCAACGGAGCAAATAAAAATAACGCTAAAAAAAATTTTAAGTTAAACTGCCAATAGTAACACCAATAAAAAGGATAACTTTTTCAAAAACCCGTAAATTAAGGAAACGTCAAGCACGAACAAAAAAATAAACAACTGAACAAAAAATATTATGTAAAATAAATGAACAAATGAATAAACAAATAAGCGGCTAAAAAGACAAAATAATAAATGAAAAGATAAATAGAAATGTATTTGTATATATATCACAGAGACAAAAACAACCTACTGCAAATGACACCAATCTCTAACACAATGGAAACCAATTTGGTACCGCTCTAAAAAGCAAGCACACGAACTGCCGTCTTAAAACTTAGCTGTCTTGCATCATCAACGACTACATCTCAAAACTTAAAATTTCATCCACCAAGCACTAGTCAGAATAGATATTCTTACTGTAAATCTGCTCTCAACTCAACGTATACGCATGGTCTAGAAACAAAGATAAAATTTACTATCCATTTTCAACCAATGAACAAACTGCAAAACCAAAAGTTCATAACATTACAACTTAACGCAACATTCTTAAGAACTATTCTACACAGAACTTCAGTGCACTTGCGAAAAAATAGAATGACACATATGGTACTTAAAACGACAAGGTAACGACAAAAAAACCACACAATAGTAAATTTGGAAGAAGACTGCTACTTCACTACCAAAAAAAGACATGCGTCAGGCACCTTCTGCTTTAAGGAACTTCAATACAAGAAACATTCTAAAACAGAAATGCTAC